CTCAGTGTATGTATATTCCCTATTAAAAACATGTATACATTAATATGAAAGCCTTAAGGGAAGCTATTGTTGGTCAAATCTTCACTATAAATTCTCTAGTGAAGCATTTGAAAGATATAGTTTTTTTCTTTTGCCAAAACTCTTAAAGTATAAGCTTCTTTGTTCTTAAGTTATAACTCGATATCCTTTAGATTGAGTACTATAGCCTAAGAAATTTCTTTTTTCAATCTTTTCATATAATTTACTCTTTTTTTTTTTCGTGGAATCTGAACATAATAAATAAAATCAAAGACTCTTAGATGATTTTCAGATAATTTCTTCCATTCCAAGCTTCAATTGTTGACTTATCTTTCATTGTTTTATTTAAACATTTATTTAATAGATATATTACAATATATATTGTCTCTACCCAAAAGCATATTGGAAGGCCTAGATCCATCAACATGGTTCTTGTCATTTCCATTATAGTTATGTTCTTTCTTTCAGAAACTCCATGTTACTTTGCGCATATCCAACTGTGAGTTGTTGTTCACCATCTTCATCTTCACAAAACTTGTTGAAATTATTGGAGCTACATTCCATACCTCTATCACTTTTTAATGTCTTCAAGTAGTAACCATTTTGTTTTTCAACATAAGTCTTAAATTATTTAAAAATCTCAAATACTTGTGATTATTCTCGCAAGAAATATACCAATGTCATCCTTGTTTAGGACGAATCTAATTTGCTCTTGTGATGGAGTAAGCAGTGGTCCCTAAATGTCAGTATCAATAAGTTCTAACGGCTTCTTAGCTCTCTATGATTTGTCAGATGGAAATGGTTGTCGTGTTGTTTACCAAGCAAACATCCTTCACAAAAGTTATTGATTTACTTTATTTTAGAGAGAACTATAATGTTCTTTGGTGGAGAATCTTTAGCCTATAAAAGTTGTAATGCCCAAGTCGCTTGTTTCATAGCCATGACTCATTTATTTGCGTCTTCATTTACACATTATTTATGTATATCCACTGAATAGGAAAGCACATGTTCTCTTTCATCTTGATTTCTGCAATTTGAAGAGATTTATCAGGCTTATCAAATATTATGCAGGTATCTCCCTCAAAATTCAAAAAATTCATTTCTCAATCATTTGACCCACAATGAGTTGATTTGGGTCTTAGAGTACATCACTGATAAATCTCTTCTCATTTCTTGTGTTAATGGCTAGGGTGCATCTTTCTGTTGCTCCCATAAAATCATCATTTCATATTTTGAATTTTGTGATTTTTTTTCAAGGCTAAAAAATATTTCGTTATTTTTTGTCAAGTGATTACTACAATCACAATCTAGATATCATGTATATTTCTTCTCTTCTAGTGCAACTTGACAAACATATAAGAGATTTTTAGATTTACTTTTCTCTTCTGAGAAATTGGTTTGTTGATTTTTTTAATCGATAAATATTTTTTGTATGCTCAAATTTCTTACGATTCACGCACTGTGATCTTCCTTTAAACTAATAATCTTTTTCCATATAACTTTTCTTTTGCAAATGCCTTCGTCACATTTTACTTGATTATTTAAAATTTTAAAATTTTTTGTGAACTTAGTCCACCATTTTTTGACTTATGAAATAGCACTTTTTTTTTTAAAATTGAACGCTACTTTCTATTATATTCTCACTTCTCATGTTCAATCTTTTACATATGCTTCAAGAGAGCCAATTAATTTTATTGGTGGCAAAGTTTCTAGATCATTTGATTTTTCAATTGCATAAATTATTGTATAATATTTTTTTTGTATAAAAAAATTAATATCTTTTTCTATTATTTTCTTGTCATGAATGGTTGATTCATAGGCTCTCATTTGACTAACTCTTTTCTTTATTTTGGAATAATATTCTTTTGCAGTCTCATTATCATTCATTTTATGATTATCAAAATCGAGTTTAAAATTTTGCAATTTCATTTTAAGAAATATATTTTCTGTCATTGCTTGTTGTAAAAAAAATAATGCTCAAGTCTTTTCATTGATTTTATTCAAACGCCTTCTTTTGATTTGCTGAAAGACTGTGAGTATTATCCAGAATATAGAATCATTCTTCAACGATCTTCCACAAAAATTTAGAAAAATGGCTCTTCATTTTGATGAATCAAAAGACATAATTTTCTCCATTGAAGATTGGAATCATGTTGAAGTCGACAATTGTATATACATTGAAATTGTACAACATCCAATGAATGATCTAATACCAATTTTTGAATGTTTTTTAAAAGACAAGGGAGAATTTTATTACAAAACTTTGCTAAGTATTTTAAAACTTACATGACAACAACATTGTTATTTTTATTTCTAAGCATGAGAGGCTAAATCTATAAATCAAGGGAGAATTTTATTACAAAACTTTGCTAAGTATCTTTAAACTTACATGACAACAACATAGTTATTTTTATTTCTAAGCATGAGAGACTAAATCTATAAACGTCTAAATTCTCACATTTCATTCAATAAAAACATACTCTACATTCTTTATAATTAAATGTTCTATACTATTATCATTTAACATAAATATCCTAAAATCTTCTGCTTAAGACTGATAGAACATTCTAGAATACTAAAAAATAAAAACCAATCTTATAAAAAATATAGAAATTTGTTATAAAAATATACATCATTTGGATGGAAAGGAAAGATAACCTCTAATAATTAACTTTTAACTTTATTCATAATCAATTCTTTTGAACTAATTGCTCTGGTACCCCTTGTCTTAATCATGTGTTTTTTTCCTCTAATGTTTTTTAGATATTTTTTCCCTATCTTCTAAACACAAACTTCTACCCAACAATTGGATGGAAAGGAAAGATAACCTCTAATAATTAACATTTAACTTTACTCAACACAAACTTCTACCCAACATAATATACTTAACATAGTTCATATTTTTTAGCATCATTCTCATTGTCTTTTTCTTTGTTCCATTGTTTCATGTTTTCTATGATTCCATTATTTGAAAGTGTAGGAGAAAAGAAAGCTGAACATTTTCTTTGATTCTTATTCTTGATAATTGTTGCCAACATAATATAGTAATATAACACTTTTTCAATCTTGGCCAACAAGTTAAAATATAGAATGTAATTGATGATTGAATTATAGTGAGTTATGAAGTATATCAATTATATATAATGTCATGTTTTATGTGCTAGCAAAACATTAATATAGCATATTTAGTATGATATATTTGATATATTGGATGAATTTGTGACCAAAAAATTGGAAAGGTCAAATATGTTTGAGATGAAAAGCCAAGATTCAAAACACACTTACACTTAAAATAATAGATCAAATGATAAAAAAAAAGCTCAATCATGGTTCATTGGATTTTTCATTAAAAAATTTATTGTATTTGGTTTTAACTAAAAAGAGATGTACATACCTACCGCCCAATCCCTCTGTAACAATCCCTCTGTATCAACGTACCCACCCAACCTATGCCGAAAACATAGGAATATGGTGGTCTATACATAAAAATTGAAGTTTGGGCGATTGATATGTTAATGCATAATAATTTAATGTTAAGTATTTAAATGCCTCTTTAATTTAAAGCAAAAAATGCTAATATTTTATTAACCATTATTTGTATTAATTGAGTTAAAAAAACAATAATTTATAAATAAATAAAATATAATTCATGTATATATTTAATGACCAATCAATAAGCATAATGAAAGATATAGCATTCATCTCTTATAGTATAACATAATGCTTAGAAGTATCATATCATAATGACTATCACAATAACGTTCAAGACTAATATTTCTTTAAAGAAATTTCACTTGAATGTCAAAGCTCATAGAAGAGTCAAATTTTATACACTCTGATCCAACCAAAACCTCTATCCCTTGATTACTTCATAGATGCTTTAAGACAATGCAAAAATAGTTTTACAGATTCATTATTATAACAAGTATTTGAAATTCACATCTTTATTGGCAACCATAACAGTCTTATTGATTTATGAGAGAGAACATATGCCCATAAAAATTTGGATGCTAAGATCTCTTGTATAAACATGAATTGGTTGTAGCTTGGGACAAATGGTCTGTTTGGGATGGCTGGAACTTTTTTTAAAATATGGATATAAAATTGTGGTGGAGATATATTTCTTAGGAAGTTATGGCGGAAATTATATTTTTTTTTTTTCAAAAAATAGGACAATAAGTTTCTTACATCCATCACATTAACAGGTTGAAAAAACAAATCTTACAACAAAAATTTATAGAAAATAGCAAGAAAACAGTTTCATAAATAGAGCTATGGTGGAGGTTTGAATTTCATACTGCATAAAAAGTTATCCCAAATAGACTCTAAGATGTCACTTATTATAAATTAAAAGAGTTCAAATAAAACAAATTGTCATTGTGAGACTCCCTTTTGTGAGCTGAAAGTGGTCCATGGGAAAAAAATAAGAGTTTCAAAGGTCAGGTTGGAAAAATATTTCCTATCATAAAAATTTCTAGAAAACATCAAGAAAGCAATTCCTCAAAAAGAACTATATGATGTGATTTGAAACACAAAGTAGGCAAAAAGTTGTCCCAAACAGATCCTAAGATGTCACTTATAATAACTTTTATTCAAAATCTCGCAGGCAAGTGACACGATAGGCTAGTCATGCTATAAATATACATTAAGTTAAGATGAAGACAAAAGAGAGATTTTGAATAAAATAAATTCTGCCATTGTAACACCCTTTTTGTGGAGCCGAAAAGTGATCTAAGGAGAAAAAAAAAAAGGCTATCAAAGGAGAATAAGATTGCGATATAATATTAGAGCTATAAAACAAACTCGTTTGCGAACAACTTGTTAAGTAACTCATTTTCAAAATGTTCGTTAAATTATCACGCCGAACACGAATAAAATTTTAATCTTGATTTATAAATAAGTCGAACACGAACAACTCTTTACTCGATTGTGTTCAGTTTGTTTTAGCTTGAAATAAGAAAGTTATACACACACGTGCGCATTTAAATTATATTATGATTATTAAAAATTAAACACCATTAATGTATAGAAAAATTATATACAAAAGTTAACGTTGCATGTCATTTCTCTCAAGATGAGTGGTCAATCAATAGACAGAACAAAATCATGCAGAAAATCAGTATATTATAGAGATGAGAATTTACGCCATCCAGAGAAATTAAGCGGTGTCATCTATCCAATCTCCATAGATGCGACTAATTTTTCTCAATGAAAGAGCTCTAACTTTTGGTTGAGATGCAGGAATTTCTCTACGATCTTCTGGCTCTTTCATTGTCTTCGATAAAATATCATCACTCAAATGAGAAGTACATTTGGGAGGAGCCTCAAGAACATTCTTTTCGACCAATTCAATATTATTATCCCCTGCGAGCTTCCTCAACTCTATTATCAAAACAACAAAAGGCATTAGTTAAAGCATGATTAAGAAAATAATGAAATAATAGATTTGGATTTCTTATCAAACTAATTTCTTTAGGGGCATTTTGTGCCTGCAATCAACAGAAAACATGTGTCTATACAAAAAATAGTGCTAATTGAGAAGGAAAATAATTAAACTTTTCCATTTGAATAAAAGGGGAAATTACATTGAGACTATTATTTAAGAAATCTACAAGTTGGACTAGCTGAATTGATAAAATAAGCTTATATATAGGGCTGTCAAAAAAATTTGCTAAGTTCATAAGCTTATATATAGGGCTGTCAAAAAAATTTGCTTGTTTGTGTTCGGAGAGGTTAAATTTGATTGTAATTTGGTTATATTTATACATTCATAAAATATAATATATGGGGCATCTATGATGCATGCTTCCTTACATATGAAAAAAAAGTGTATGTTCATATCATATATCTTAATTTGTGTCAGTGTATGAGTTTTTAATAGACTTAATTCTAGTGAGTTGCATGTGTTTGGTTTGATAAGTCAACTTGCTTGATAAAAAAAAGAGAAAAAAAATGTGTGCTTATCAGCAATTAGGGGGTGTTTGGTTACAAGCAGGATTGAAGTTAAATAGGATTTAATAAATTAGGTATATCCGGATTTATCAAATCAAAATATTATTAAATCTAAAATAATGTTTGGTTCAATTAAGATTAATTCCAATTAAATCCATATGATGTGTCAGACATAAATCTCTTTGAATCATTCTCTTCATAAGCTAAATCCATTAAATCCAACTATGTCACAAAATAAACGGAACAAAAAAAAAAACATTTTTTTTGAACATTGCGTCGGATTTATCCAACATATATGATATTTGGCTGGATTTATGTTAAACCCTCAAGTAAATCCTATTAAAAGTAGTGTACCAAACACCCACCTAAGGTTGCATTTGCACGTAATTATACCATCATAGGTTTATACAATTCTTTTTTTTTTTTGGTTATTAAAAAAGTAATAATTAAGGGTAGCATAACATTCCAATTATCATGAATGATTGGGATTATTTATAATTCTTTTGAGAAATATAATAATTTTGAAGAAAATAATTCCAACTATTTTAAGCTAGATTGAATGGTTTAATTTGTGCTTTAATTACCATGGCAATTGAAGAGGAACCAAATCCCTACTTTTGAAATGCAAAAATTAATGAGATAAAAGAATGTCAACCTGCATCTCCATGAGCATAACTGCACTGATCACCATATGGGCAATTACCAGAAGTTAACCACTTGTGACAAATTTTTGTCTTCCAGCACAAAGATTTTTGATTGAATAAAGGGTTATCCTGAAGCGAGCCCGGCCCTACATGACTGAAACTGCACTTGTCGCCATAAGGGCACATCTCACCATTATAAAACTTCCAGCAAATTTTGTTCTTACTCAGCTTTTGCTCCTCCCTTGGATCAAAGACTTCTTCAAAAGAAAGCACAGAACAACATTAGAAATTACAATGAATCAAATCATAAACAAAGAGAACATCACGACTTTATTTTTTTGTTTAATTACTGGAAGCTCAAGAAATAGCAATCAATACCCACCAGGAATTATAATATTTGATTCATTCCTCGAACTGCGGTCTTTCTGTAGAAACGAAGCTCTCTTATCAACGTTTCTGATCGTTATTCAACAAATGAAAGCAAAAGCATATAAGCATTGTGACGAAGGATATCGAAGCAAAAGCAATCACGAGCTTTACCCGACAGGCCTGCGGAGTTCTTCAATGCTGTGCGCAAAGTTACAGTTGCTCCCCTTAGGGCAGCAACCAGATGTGAATCTCACGCACATACGTGTCTTGAAATATACAGACTGAGGTTTACCGGGGAAATCGCACATTGGATTGCTCATCGGATTAGGGAAAATTGGTGGAATTTGAAGATAATGCCCAACGAATTCGGCTGGGATTCCCTGTTCGTGGGTAATCGAAGACTCCATTGGCCTCGGGAGACCAAAGGGACGATCCATGGTAGAACCGCACACAACCTTTAAAACCACAGACAAAGACCAACTGCTACAATGTTCTTTTCCGATAAATCAATACCACATATCAAACAAACACAGAAATGATGAAAATTCACAACGCAAAAAGGAATCCGAACCAGCAAAGAAAGTGTAAGACTCTGAATCGAGATTCAGATTCATTACCGGAAGACGAACCTCCGATGCAAGGATTCAATGATGAATGGAGGAAAGTTGTTTCTATAGAAATGAGATAATGCCGGCAGGGAAGACGGAGAAGGAGCGGAACCCTAGAAACAGTGGAAGAGATCAGATAGGGTTTCCGTAAGCGATTGAAGAAAGCGCCATGGAATTAATACTGATTTAATCTTCCTTCTATAGAGGTTTCCGTTAATGGAATCGATGCTGCGCAGGGCGTCCGCAGCTGGTCGCGCGATTTCAGCTTCTGTGCGGGTTAACCGTACGGAAATCGCAGCGGCGAGTTCGGGAAGGACGGTGCGGGGCCCAATGGCGATCTCAACCGTTTCATTTTGTCTCGTCCGGAGATAACTATGCCACGTAGATTTTTTTTTCTTGGAAAAAGTGAGGACAAAAAAAAATATAAATAATTATAATTTTTATTTTTAAATTATAACACACAAATAAAAAAATAATTAATATCTTAAAATAGAACATTTTATGAACAAGATAATTAGGACAATAAAATAAAAAAAATACTAGACAAAAGAAAATTCACAAAGAAAAACTAAATGATCAGAACTCCAACAACAACCAGCCAGAACGCTAATAGTAGCCCACATAAATAACCAACTCAAACCAACAAGAACAGAACAACCACATAAAAGAACAGTCAAAACCATTTGAAAAACAAAGACCTCAATTGAATAAACAATCTGAGGAAAATAAATCAAAGATCAAAAGGGCTAATAATAACCAAAAAAACCCCAAATCAGCATAAAACAACTAAAAAGCCTCAACTATGAAGAAACCACCAAAAGAGAAGAATGTACTAAAAAACCTAAGAAAATTAATAATTAAAACACCCAGAAACACTCAAGTGGGCCAACCTTTGTTGACCTAATCTGGTTTGGTCCTGTTGATTTGGTTTCTATGGCTTTGGCCGATTAGTCAGGTGGGCCTCACAATTTTCTAGCAGTGGGCCAGCCTTCGTTGTGCTCCTCCCTTGTGAAGCGTTGAATCACTTTAAAATAAGTGTCGATGTCTGTTGCATGGTAATTTTAATCAAATTAAAAAATATTAATTAAAATATTATTCAAATTTTAGTCAATTTACAATTATGGCATGGGCCAAGCTAGCATTATTTTTTAAGGTGAACAAAATCACCATTAATATATGATATCTTGAGATAGTATAATGTAAGGAAACAAATAAGTTATGTCAAAATTTTATTGAAATCATGTAGCAAAAATACAAAATAGCAAACTTATTTACTGAAATAAAGAAATAAGAAGTGATTGATCAAATCACATAGTTAATAAAAATTAATTAGTTTGAAAAAAAAAGGAAAATTTAAAATTCATAAATTTAAACCTAAATAAGATTGACTTTTTTGGTAAATAATCTTACACTAATTCCTCAAAATAATTACATCATTATGATTTTACAAATTATGATAATTTACTATAGTTAAAAAAAAAGCAAGAAATGAGATGCTTTGAATTCCATTTGTGTTGGATAAACATTAATAAAATTTAAAACCTATTTTATTTACTTTCATGATGACCTAATTTTTGTCTCCTTCTCTAGACCTTGACCAATTCCATCTAAGACTAGTTTTATTTTCCAAGTCTTGCTAGATGGTCAGGTCAAGCCAGCCCTAATTTGGTTTGGTTGACTAGGGTCTGGCCTTGCTGACCCTAGCCTAGCCTGGTAGGCCCATGCATGATTGGGTTGATCTTCTGGATTGGCCCAAGTATATTTTGGCTCATCTTACTATCGATTTGGAGTGGTTTGGGTTTGAGTGAGATTAAGTTAATTTTATATTAAAGTTGGTACATTCTAATGAAATTAAAATTTATTTAAAAATAAAATAATTCAAAATTTTCTTAAATTAAATCAAAACTTAAATTAGTTTATAGTGACATAAAATCTACCTAAAATAACTTGAATATTGGAAGCAACTTCTAACTTGCTATTTCTAAATTTGAACTTAAAATACAACTTAGTTGATAGCTGAATCTAAAATTAAATTAATAGATAATTTAATTAAATCCATATTCATTTAAACTAAACAATTTGGCTAATTTTAATACAAATTTATCAAAAATGAATTTTTAATTTATAAATTAGGACATATTTGACTCAAACTAATATAAAAAGAGAGCCTTGTGATGTTACTCATATCCTAGAAATAAAATTGAATTTTTAATTTTATTGATTCGAATGGACCTCCCATGACACATATCCTTATAATGAATTACATCTTGAGAGATGCTTAAGAAGACTCTCAATTAAAAGTGGTATGTTTGCTTATTATAAACCCAAGCAATAGGTAAATCAATGAGATTTTTGTTATTATAATATTGGATATCTTGTCATGTTATGCCAAATTAAGTTATCATGCAGAGGTTGAATCACCTACGTAGTTGTCCCTCAATAAAAGAGGACCTACAAAATGATTATGAAAGGCCCATAAAGGGAAAAAGAAAGGGCCTAAATGGGTTGTCAATAGGTAGTTAAAGAATTTTCAGATTAGTTGACATAGCCTAAGCAGGACTCCATAGATCCATCATTCAAAACTATTGGGATTTTAGGTCTACTCGGTCATGAGGTATTCGGCCCAACTTGAACGGGGGTTACTTACCAGCAACCCATGTGTCACATCATCCAAGATAGCTCGATAGTTCTAAAGTCAAAAGAAAGAAATATCTATACTCCGATGACTCTATTTTAAAAGAAAAAAAAGGTAGAAATAAGAGTTACACCATCAAGAGTATGATAGGGATATCTATATAGAGAAAGAGTGACTTGGCTACAAAGTCGAATCACCCCACAAAAGACTTACATGCGTAAGAAAAGCATAAACAAATCATGACCAAACTTGTTTTGAATTATTGTCAAGTCTTTTTCAAATATGATTAAAATGTTATTAAGCTAGCTTTGAATTATTTTCAAACTATGATTAAACATTTTCATCAAATCACCTTAAAACCTCTCTTGAGAATCTTTTGAAATCATGATCGAACTAAGATCAATCATCTTCAAATAATAATCAAATATTTTCAATCATGATTCAAAGATGATTCAATCACAATTCAAAGATTGTTTGATCATGTTTTGATTTTGATTCAATCATCATCTGACGAAGGTTTCAAGAGAGTTTGAAAAAAAAAAATTAGGGGATTTGCCTACCTGAAATTATTGTATTTACTTATCTAACACCAAACTCTACTAGTCACATACTAACCACCTAAAACTTCATAAACACTCAAATGTACTTCCCTCAATTAATGTTGTTCATAGTTGAATTTAACCATTTTTTGCACCACAAAAATCACATGCGATCGTGACTACAATGGCCCTTTTGGTCCTAAGAGGAAGGAGAGACTCTTGAACTATGTGTTGCCACAGATGAAGATACCGTCGCCGCCACCACCAACAACTATTGGAGGTGATTGTGGTTATTAAAGATAGTGAAAGTGATTAAGGTCTTTAACTTGTTTAGATCATCAGAAGAAGAGAGAGAGATGATCACAATTCCTCAAAGTTGCTCCCTCTCCATTCAAGACCTTAAAGACCAAAAACTTCTGAAGTCTTTTGTATATAGAGATGAAATAAAAATTGTAGATTCAAGGTGGAACAATGTTAACTTGCTTACTGCAACGTCAAAGTATCATGCACTATTTAGCTGAAGAAAATTTAAAGATAACGTTACTAATGAAGCAAGCTAGTGTCCCATTGAAGATTGAGGTGGAGACAAAGGTGAAGGGGATGGGAAGATGCATGTGACAATGAGGAGATCAAGTGTTTGGCAAAGCTTGAGCTCGTCGAAGAAGGTGTGGGTGGCCGGAGGAGGAGAAGACAGTGGTTATTCACCTGAAAATGCATCAAATTTATTAGTGGTAGTCTAATTGAGCCGGCTCATTAGCCAACATTCCGAGCCAAGACTAGCTCAAGCTCGAGCTCATTTAATAAACAAGCTCTAAGTTTGATCTCAAGCCCGAGCTGCGAGCTCGTTAACAAGCCAAATTGAAGCCGACTCGGCTCATTTGCACCCTTAGATAACTATTCCCTTTCCTCGACTATCAGCGATCCCAACTGTCAAATTCACCAATGTTCTTTTGTTCGAACTCGAATGGGGTTAAGATTTATTTAATCTTCCAACTGTTAAGGGGATTTACCCATTAGTCCTCTTCGATCAAAAATTGCTTCATTCATGACCAAGTTTCTGTGATTTGAGCTTGGATTGCTAGAATTACATTGCTTCTTTGGAAATGATTTTAGGTGAGCATTTTGACAACAAAGGCGGTTTTAGCTTGCTAACACAAATGGCAAGTTGTACCACAAACAACCTCAACCGATAGTGTAGATTTGAGTACTTATGAAGTGTTAAGAGGTTGCTATATAAATAGTAGAGTTTAGGTGTTAGATAAAGTTAAAATAGCGGTTTTAGGCCCCCAAATGTTCAATCATAGTTTGCATATACTTATAAGTTGATTCAAAAATAGCACTAGCAATGCCAAAGTACTTATTGTGAAGTTTTTTGAGCAATGAAACCCATGCATTTACACGTGTCACGATCAAATCATTGAGAATTTGATAAAAATGAAAAAAAAAAAAACATGAGTTGGGATTTTATCACGACCTTTGATATTCGAGTGATAATTTGAGAGGCTGATCTAAGAGGGTGCTTGATTTGTAAATAGTAATGTTTTTGGTGTCGTGTAGTAATGTAATCCTCACTGTCAAACATATAATTATTATATATTTATGATATGTTTGTGGCAGCTGCAGCTGTTTGAAAAAGTAGTTGCTTCATAGCTATTGTTCAAAAAATTACGGAGGCTATTATAAAAAAAAATGAAGAAGTCAGACTGCAGTTTTCTAGCAGTCACCGCACATAGCCAGATCTGGTGGAAAAACACAGCTTTTAACTTTAATTTTATGAGAACCTAATTAAAATGCAGTTTTATCTAATAATAAAAACCGTAGTACGACACTACACCGTCACACTGTCATCCCAAATACATATTTTTAAAATATCTTAATTTAATAAATTAACATTTATGAGATTTATTAAATCTAATTTAACTTAAATCTTGGTGGAGCTAAACATACCCTAATAAATATTTAAATGTTGATGATAGGTGATGAAAGCTTATTGGGAGGGAGAAGATAGTTCCTCCGCCCACCCCATGGCTTTTCTGCTTCCGATCTCTACTTTCTGATAGAACAGAGCAGCTAAAGGGCAACCTTCCATCTGATGGCTTCTCTTCTTCAGATGTCTTCCCATTTCTTATTAGTGTTCCTTTCTTTTTCTCGCGCGTGCTCTTCTCGCAAGTAAGCTACCACCCTTACTCTTTAGGTTTAGTTGTTTAGGGTTTGAATTGCTGATCTTTTTCTTTCTTAAATTGGTGTTTTCTAATGTTTTGTATTCCTGTCAGCTATGCAAAAAATTTTTCATTTTTGTGTTGTTGAAATCATTTGAGAGAAAGAAGGCCGGGGGTAGTTAGATTTGCTATTAAGGGACTCATAAGGAACAATTGGTCGGTGAATTTGGATGATTTCCTGTAGAATTACTTAAATTTGAAAATCTTGACTGCTATTTCGAGTGTCTTAGTAATCGTGACGCGGGAACTCTCCCCCAGCGGCATTTGTGCGATCCCACAAGCAGGAAGAGCACCCGAACGGGCTGCGAAGGCTTCCTTTATCATCCAAATTGCTGCCAATTGCGGTTTATAGCAGAAATAACTGTTGTATTTCGCCGTCAGCTTGCCATCCTATCGCTGTTCACACTAGATTTCAGCTGATATCTCTTCGCCCACTGCTGTTACCTAGATCCCACTGCTGTTACCTATCATACCAATACCCAGTGATTTGACATCGAATATCAAAGGAGAAGTCGGGATTTTAGGATGAAGATTGACTTGTTGAAATTTGATGGTCCCATGGATCATGACTAATTCTGCCAATCTTAACTAATTCATTGAGTGGCTCATGGTGGAGCATGTCTTTGAGGGCAAGGGTGTTTCACCTAATAGAAGCGTCAAGTTAATAATTACTTAGTTAAGGAAGATGGTTGAAAATTCGAGATGGTTGAAATAGAGGAGCATACATTAGTGAGATATCTTGGAGAGCCGGTGCTTTCTATAGGTAATGTGGTGCAGTTGTAGCTATATTGGTCCATACTCGATGTAAAATTTAAGATGGAGAAGCAACAATGTCATTAGGTGATCGTCATATCTTATAGGGGTTGTTTTGTTTGTTGAAAATGAAATGCAATGCCAAATATTTTTAGAGTATTATGATTTCAATATATCTGACATATTTTTTAGCTGTTTGATTTACTGTAAAATAAACATAAGAATTTAAATTTTTTTTTGGTATAAAGTTGATTGCAAACAATGTATTTTAAAATATATTTTTTTGTCCGGCGACGACGGGGAGGTGACAGAGGTGGGATGGTGGGTGGTGTGACGGACGACTGACGACTGAGGTGGCTGCGGTTGCAGGTGCGATAGGCAGCCGGTGACAATGGTGAACTGTGGCGGTGAGGACGGTAAACTGCAGCTGCGACGGGTTGCGGGCAAAGACGGCTAACAATAGCTAACGACGACGGCGAGTAACGGGCAACAAAAACGACAGGCAGTGGGCAATGATAGGCGGTGGTGGCGAACTACGGGCGGCGATGACGGGAGGTCAGGGGTGGCGGGCCACAGGTGGCAGCGACAAACTGCGAGTAGTTGACGATGATGGTGGTGGTGGAGGGCGGCAAGCGGCGGGCAGTTGGCGGCTGGCGGAGGGAAGCGACAACGAACTTTCGGCGGTGTACAACTGGCAGCTGAGGACTAGTGACAAACTGTCGGCCTCGTGGGGTGTTGGACGATAGGGGTGGGGGCATGCTGATAGCAGTTAACATGAACGATGTAATTCAAATTCAGTCAAATCAATCGAATTCTAAATTCAACCAAAATGAACTACAGTGTATTTTTCAAATTCATTCATACTCTACATTATATTTATAATTTTTTGTACCAAACACATAATTTTCTCAAATTGCTGTAAAAGAATTACAATACTCCATAAATTCACTCAACAAATCAGTCTCACAGCCAGTTTAACCCCATAATCAGATAACAAAAATACACCTAATGGGGCACTCAAGTTGGCCCCGCCCATAGAGAAATAAATCCAGAGTATAGAAAAGGTGGACACTGCCTCCACTTCCAAATCCTTCCTAGTTAAGAGGTACTTCAAGTGCCACGACTTTAGACTCTTTGCATCCGATTAACCAAATAGGAGGGTGATGATGAGTATAGAGCAGTCGAAGAAATGGGCAATGATATATGAGAGATTGAGGGTATCAGAGAGGGTTACCAACTTTGCTGATGAGGAAGAGATGTTAGTTATTCGACGGGTCTTTTAGGCTGAGCCCATGAGAGAGCAAAAGTGACTCTGTACAATAACTTTCATATCCATAGCACTGTGATGAAAAAAATGTGCAGTTTTATCATATTCATAAGCAGTTCTGAGAATGTGGTAATTATTCAAATGGTTGATAAGTTGAATTTGACAACACAAAAGTACACCCGATCATAGTATTTGTCTTGTTTGAAGAAAGAGAATAAAATCATAGTTGATAGGAGTTGTCTTGTGGAGTTTTTTGTTGGAGATAAGTTCTAGAAGCTTGTGTGGTGTGACGTGGTATCTATGGATTTTTGCCACCTATTAGATCTTCATTGGCAGTATGATTATTGCATATATCATGATGGCTACAAGAACACATTCTTTCATCAAAGATGGAATGTGCATTAAACTCTTGCTTTGAAAGGAGTCCGAGCTAATAGACATTCATACGGAGTTCGAGTATGTGGTGTCACAAACTATTTTTTGATAGGCTTTGAGGGAATCACCAATAGGAGTATCATTCGTTCTCCAAGAGAGCAATGAGGATACCAAGCACAGAGCAACCCTCCTAAGAGATTTCACGATTTTCGAATTTGCAATCTACCCCTTAAGTTGTTAACACTGAAGGAGGTCCAACATGCCGTCATTTTAGATAGAGACAAAGTTTTTGAATTATTTTTTAAAGATTCTATGAAGTAGGCCGGGTTTTCTAGTTTAGTAGTGTAGTCCCAGAAAAATGGCCAGATAGGAGTGTTGGACTGCTATTTTAAAAATCTCCGTAGATATTTCATGGAAAATATTATTAAATAGTGGGTTCTAGGTGTTTCCAGAGAAAAAGAAGCCTTGACTGGTAGGGAAGAATGATGCCAGAGCTCTCTCCCAACGGGATATACGCGATCTAGGATCGCAGAATCTCACAAAACCATGTGATCTTGCAATCCTAAAAGCGTGACAAGCGCCCATATGGGATGCATCAGGGTTTTCTCCTCTTGTGTTGCGCTCGGCCCCTTGTGGACCTCTTTTCTTATACATTTTAATTAGAATTTGTTTTTTTTGCTTGAAAATTATTTATATGTTATTATTTTCTGGTTTAGAGGATTTTTGCTTGGTTTATAATATTTGGAGATGTTTTTTCCTTGTTTTATTTATCGCAGTGTCATATTCTTAAATTTGTCTCAGGTGGTGTGCTTGTAACCTAATAAGATTGAGGTAGTGATCTCTCTCAGATGTAGAAGACTTCCTTCATCGTTTAACCTCTACCAAATATTGTTTACAATAGAATAATTACTGAATTTTGCCATTGGCTTGTTGTCACGCCGCCGTTAATGCCGGATTGTAGTCTATACCTTTTCTCTCACACCCGTTATCCATTCTACAACTTTCCTAAGTCTTAATCCTTTTACGTGGTCCCCCCCACCTTTTAGTGTCTTAGGATTGTGTCAATTCGTACAGGTGTAAATTTAGATATTATAGTTATGATGATGCATGCCATAGCTGCGCTAGCAGCTTAGGCATGATTTTGATCTTTTACGAGTGTTAATGTGATTTCTCAACTTAAGAGGATTTTATTTATATGTTTTGGTTGTGTATGAGCTGACGAGGCAAAAAATTCCTGAGCTAAGAAAGAACTTTGTTGATTTATTTGCTTGATTGAGCTTTTTAGGTTCTTTTAAAGGCAGTGCCTACCTCCGGTTTTCGCCACCAATTTTATGGTTCTTACAAGATTTGTCTTATATCCCTCCCATAAAAACGCATTCTTCTGTTATATAGAAAAAAGTTACTTCTCTTGATCACGCAATATGTCGAAGCAGTGGATTTTCTTTCGTCCACTCAAACTGCCTTCAGTTCTAATGAGTTTGTATTTTTGTTAAATTCCAAAAATAGGCAGTCTGAGATGGAGTAGGTTAATGTCCCACCTGAGGTTTGCAGCCTTGGGAAACCTTTGGCTTTTAACTCAGTTCTTGAGCTTTGAAGTTTTGGACTGCTCGAACCAGGGAGGGGCGATGGGGGTGCCATTATCCACATTTTTTGGAGGTAGTAGTATGGAAGTTCCCTGAGAAGGGGAATGGGTAATGAAAGGGGAGTTCTTAGTTTAGCTGGATTGGGGAATGCATAGCATAATTGCACTAACCTATAATATATTAAGACAAATATGTTGGACACAGGCAGTGATTAGACACATGCATATATTTATTTGTGGGCGAGTTCTTTCTCTCTCTCTGAGTGGGAGGATTTTAGAGATAAACTAAAGGAATTAGAAATGATTTTGATGTGGTGTGGAAATGACAGTGGTCAATTTGTATTTTTTTTTAACAGATTGTTCCATTCCAATTTTATGGAATATAGAATGGGTGGTTGGAAATTCATGATAATTTCTCCTGATAACAAAGTTTGGTGGAGGACTTTAAATATGGGTAAAGGAGATGTCATAGATCTAAATTAGATTAACAGTCTTAGAAATTAACATGCTGGAAAACTTCAAGCTTCTATCTAGTAGGGTAGAAGGGAGACTAAATTAATCAACATGCAACAAAAATTGGAGTGTATGTATTCAAAATTATTAGATAAAGTGATGAAATGCAATTCAAGAGAATGAAGCACTAAAAATGTAGAATAAAACTTGTATTCCTTACGAGACATGTGAAAGATAAGTCATAAATGCTGAAATGGGGTCGGAATGATTATCGGATTAGGATTTTAAGGATTAGAGAGAAATCTTGAATATGAGTGATGAGAGAGATCAAAATAATGGAGAGAGATTTCTTCAATGATTTGAGAGAAATAAAAGAGAGAGAAGTAGCTGAACAAAGCATCATGTAGAAAATTTTAATTCCATTGATTAATTTTCAGGTTTAAGGATCTATTTATAGGCAAAATTTCTTAGACTGTCAATATATGCCATAGTTATACAATTAAGTTGAAATTTAAAGTTT